ACGTTTCAGATCAGTGGTGTAACTTGGGGATTGAGATCACTCAAGTTCAAGGCTGGGATTGCGATCACTGGACTTGGACCACTCCACCCGCATTGCCTTAAGGATCTGCGATGTATGGGGATTGCGATCACTCGTACGCTTCCAGATCCAGCATAAAAAGAGCAATTTACAAAGTAATCTAATTGTTATAATTTAATGCTAATATTTTGTCTTTATTTTCTTTTCGAGATATGAATAGACAACACGTGCGGGCTTATGAATATTACGGAGAAGTAGCTGTAATTTTCGTCGGTAAGTTTATATGACTTGTATTTTTAGTTCCTATTATGATCAGCTTATTAACACATTTTATTCTTTACAACTAATAAGCACTATGAATCCCAAAAGAAAGTCAGCACACTGATGCAACTTGTCAAGATAATAATGTCATAAACTCAAATTTGTAGGTTAAGCACGTTGATTCAGGTCTTCAGAATACTTTTTCTACAAATTGTGCATTGATTTATGCAAATTACTGGTAGTTCGCGCGTGGTTTATTTAATGTGTTTTTCTATAAGATTGTTGATAAAATAACTGGGTTCTAGACTCAGGCAGAACTGAGACATGTCCCACACTCAGGTACAGTCTGATTATTAGGCGAGATGTTATGATAAAAAGCTCTGTACAAAATTTGGTGAAAGAACAGCTACAGTTAACCCTGTAGAAGTGTGGCATTGAACATGGGGACTATAGTGGGAGCCACCCATTTAGACGTTTTTAGAATTATCCAAGAAATACAGAAAGAACAGAATCAAACTCAACTTGAGATAGAATCAATTATGCGTGAAGCACCCAAAAATCACAAACTCATTTATGTGATGTATGTGCTGGTTTTATTTGGTAAGAACTTTAACATTATCAAATTACCCTTGCCTTGTTTATTAACCAAACCAAATTGTGTTTATTGTTTTGATTGACATGTTACATCTGGTTTTAAATTTTTTATTTTTATTTTTGCATAATAGGTCTTGCAAAGAATTGACTCTATGCAAAAAAAAAAGCATTATTGCAGCTAAAACCAAACAATAATGATGCAAATCTGTTATGATTATGCAAAATCAAACATGGTAGAGATTTTAAAATTATTTTTACTATTACAGTGTAATCTATAACAATTGAACAAAGACAAAAATCCGTTTGGCTAATATGTAGTAGTAGGCAAATATGGCTACATATTAATAGTGATAGTATGGGTATTAACATATCAGATATAAAAAAAAGCAAAATTAAACATAAAATGCAAATGCCAGATTATTCCTGAAAAGTAAAGTTGAAAGATAAAATAATTTTTTTATTATTGTCTATCAATTTTTAACATAATTAGATAATAGTAATAGTGTAAATAAGATAAAAATCTGCCTAATACATTATTCCCAGGCCACGAAAACCTGAGATCATCAAATGTCTATTTGGGCAGACCGTCTGCCAGCACCAAGTCGTCAAGGTTTTCAAATCCACTTCAACATAGGCATTGTCCCATGTGTTGTTTGACTAGTTGATGTTAACAGTCAGAGGCACAAGATGAGTTGGTAAAGGTTAACACGCTTGAATGAACATGCATATATTCTTACCTTCAGCCCATCAGACTCCGGCTAAGATACTCCTGACGATTTCCAGTAAAAATCATATGCCTATTATATGTCGTGGTAGGCATCGACATCTGCCAACGCCATGTTCCGCAAGAATCCATTCCAAGTAGGCATCATTTCGGCGACATTGTGTTTTCTCGACTAAATTGCTGTTAGTGGCCAGAGTAAAATTAGTAATTAGTAAAAGTTAACACACTTGAATAAGCATACATATTCTTACCTTTTAAATATCTGCTGTTCAGCGTCCTCTCAGTCCGCCTAAATTCGGAGTAGGGTATACACCTAAGATGGGTACATTTCTGGCGACGATTCTCCATTTGTAAAAGTTTTTGAAGATTCGATCAAACGGCTGACGGGTATTTATCCATAATATCAGATGAGAGTAATAATAATAAATATAAAGAAGAAGACGACGAACAAGAAGTCGGAGTTCAATGCTGGAAATTCCGGCTTAAGATACTTCTGACAATTTCCGAGGAATCATCCGATAATCGCATATTACACTTCCAAAATTAAGTGAAAAGTTTGTAATGTTACTATGATAGAAATATTGTAACGATTGAAACAAACGATGTTATCTGACTACGGGATTTGGTTTTACGTTAAATGGGCTATTTATCTAAAGACTGAACAGTCCGGAGAGTTTGTTCTGCAGATTATTTACGCTTGGAAGACTAACACAACAGGTTTTGGCGTAATATATTCCTTTTGTGGACGTACAATAAGTAGTCTTATCGATTGGATGAGAAAGTGCTTCGCATCGCCGCATACACATGTGACACAAAGAAAGTACAATCTAATGATTGTCGTTTTTGTTTCCATCAATTCCGATTCATATCGCCGTTTGCCCAAACAGTGGAAAGCACAAGCTTTACATTTCGATTCCTTCAGTTAACGCACAATGGGAATTAAAACAACCAAACTATTTAAGGCGATATGATCTAGACCAAAATCAGTTACCCTTTTATTGCTTATCGTGATTAGTAAGCTGATTTCTGAGTTTCGCAACTAATCCCAATCCAGTAGACGAAACGTGCATGACTTAAATAATTGTTACAAGCCCGGAACATGTGAGTCGCTAATCTATCGTAAATAATGCTGATGTTAACAACAGTCCATATTCAACTGACAAAGTTATTTGCCATCTGTTCATTCTATCTTCGAAAATGTCCTGGCTTAATACCATCATCTCCGTTTCAAAGTCTTTACCAATTTCTAACGCGAGAGGAACTGACGTAGTCAACCATACAAATGGAAAATTTGATGTGAGTAAGCAGTAATCTAACGACTTGACTCAAACTAGCCAAGTCTGTTTCTTACAATATGACTAACACGGGTTTAAAAATAATTTAGATTCCGCGAGGCCTAAGACGCGCAAGGGGTTATGTCTAATGACGGTCGGGGTCGGTGCACCTCGAAAGTCTCATGTCTCATGGAGGGTTTTACAAACGGCTCTGTAATCTCCTTCGAGGTCTACATAGAGTATGAAGAAAATCACGGTTTATTCGACGACACTGAATACAAGAAGCGTTAATTCAAACTTGGAAAGACGACGCGGGTCGAATATCGACAAATCTTTTGTTGGCCTATCCATGGAAACGGCCGTTACTGGAAAGTGGAAATACCTAAAGCGCGAAAACGTTTTGCTAAAGTTCAGACGTCATCAGAGAAATCCATCATAAAAACCACCCTTATTATTATTTTCAGCACGATCTTATAAGAGGTGGGCATAACGATAAAACACCAAACCTCTGGCAATACCAAAGAAAAGATGACGAAAAAGAATGGTTTTCTATGTAATATCTCAAACAGCGTTTTATGTCCATAAATCTGACCACGGGTGATGACAGTCGAGCAGCAGCGACGAATACGTTGACTGCGTCAAAGAATTCAGTTTAGATGCAGATGAGTTTAACATATATGAAAAAGCAATACATGCCAAAAGTGGCATTATATAATCATAATATAAGTGGTCTTGTTAAATCGACAAATAAATATTTTCAGTTACTACGTCGCCAATAGCAAATACTATAAAAAACTTTTCTTTCAAATCGTAGGATCATCTACAATTTAAATAAATCATCTTTACTTCAGACCCTAAAGCTTTTTTATTATAAAGACAAATTAATCTGTAAAAATGTTAGAAGAATAAACATCTGCAGAATGTGTTGCTAAAAACTAATAAAGCGGATTCACAAAACTGATTATGCGCATTTATAATACTGTTCTAAACATAAATTCATCATTCTCCTGACCCTTTTTCCTCATAATTTCTTCATTCTTTCTATTGAGTAATTTCAAAAAGTTTCTCATTCATGATTAGACCATGTCCTTTCATCTCCCTTTCCCTCAATCTTTCATCTCACACCTCTGTACTTCTCTTAAATTAGCAACACTTTTTTTCTGGTTTTCAGGGTGTTTTTCAAGAAAATTATTTTCATATTTACCTCTCTATATAACTCAGTCCAACTCTTCAATTTATGCATATTAATATGCTGATATTACTATAATTATTGGTCATTGTTTATTCTCACATTATCAATCTCATATTTTATCTCCCATTACCAAAACTCTCATTTTTCTAAAATATGGTACTGTGCTCCATCGCTTTATTATCTGGTCACCCTCTAAAATGTTGAATCCCAACATATAAATCTATCACTTCTGGTTTTCCTTTATAACAACACTACATTATGTGATTTGTTCCCAGAATCTCAGATTTTTATCATTTACCCAAACATATTTAACCTGTATGAAGGGCAATGAAGAGTTGGTAAAAGTTTTACTGTAAGACCCAAATTGTAAAAGAAACATAAATTTCAGAATCAATTAAACATCAAAATAGTCACGGTATCAGGTAATGTAATCATAAGTCATAGTGGTAGCTGGAAATGACCACTTGTAATATTAATATAAACCCCTCATCTATCATTACAAATAAGACTTTTACCAGAGCTGACTTGCTTAATTATGCTTCTGTCTATTTTAAATTTGCACTTACTGCTATCAGCTGATTTAGTAGGACCGCCGCCCACCTATACATCTCTAAAAAATACCAGAAACAAAGTTTGGGTATCGACTTGCAGCATGTATATGTAATTAGAATTTGAACTCCTTCTTTTGACTATGTCGTCATGTCACTCTCATTAGATTTTTAGTAATAGAAACTACCTTAAATGTGTGTAATTCCATATATTTCAAGCCACACAGAAATGACAGCATTATAATTAATGCATAAATATTTTATGGTGAAAATTACTTTGTTGGAAAAACAATCAAGTGCGCTGATGTTTCCGAAAACCCCTGACAAAGAATAAATGATTCGCTATAAACAAGCTTTTTATATTTCTAAAGAATAATAATAATCCGCCGTAATTACATACAACGTTTGTTAAGACTTAGTTTTCTCGGACAAATAATAGTTAAACACACGCGACTGCAAACATGTGAAAATTGGGAGTGATCTTACCCCAACATTTAAGTGTAAATCACAATTATTTGATGCAAACTTTAATTCCTGCGGAATATAAACAGCCTGTAAGGCTACACGCTGACATTAATACACTTCATTGATCAAAGCAAGGTTACTTATGGCACTGCATTAAAATACTTCAAAGCACTTCTTCAAGGTATTTGTTCATTATATTTCATTATCCCATAAACTTGATGCCCATCAATCTTTTATTCGGTAACAAACACTCTTCTTCAATTCAGACGAATATTTCACAGCCGCTGATCTGATCGAGAACTTGATAAAGCAGAATTGGCTGCTTTGGCAGAATATAGACAATACCGGATTTTTTTCAGTCCGGGTACGCAAATCGTTTTAACTGCCGAACAGTGCACAATTGTCAATAAAGTAAGTCATACTCTTGACAACTCAGGTACTTGTCAATGCACTGAAAATATGGAACATTGGCAAGGGTATCGGGCATCAATGTATTTGACTTAGCGGCGTTATAATGTATCAATCAACAGTCTGAATTTGTCAATTTTATTTTAATACCTCAAGAATTTACTTTAAGGTATAATTTAAATTAATATTTTTCGTGTGCCAAGATATTTAATTGAAATAGTTAGGTTTGATCTATTTTTCTGTCATAAAATTTTAGTTTGTAAGCATACGTATCTTGTTTTATATGCTTGAATATACGCGTAGAGGTAGTCTTTTGTTTTGGAAAAGATTCAAAAACTTTGAAAACACATATAGTATTTCCAACGGGTTTAGTAGCACTTGTTTATGATTTAATAATTAACGGGGTTTTGCAAAATCATTCAAGCATATCTATTACACAGCCTTCATCAATAAAATGTCTGAAGATCCCAAGACCGGGAAAGGAAAGGCAGCAACAAAACATAGTTCTCCCAGAGCGGATCGTATTAAGACAATTGCGCGGAGAGTGGCTAAAGTGTTGTCAAGGCCAGACGTATTAATGCATGACGGAAGGCAAAAATTGCTTATCCATGTCAACAGATGAGAAGCAGGAACCTATATCCCAAGGATCGCCATTACTATTACAAATCACTGCTAGTGCAACAAGCTTACTGCGAGACTGACCTGACGTCAGCGACGACTATTAATTAGCAATCTACTTGCATAAAATAACCACAGTTTGCTAGTGAGGATACTATTGGCATATGATCATGCATGTAAAGGAATTACCAGGGAATTTAAATGCTAAAGTCTGAAGACCAAGCGTATTGAAATTTTACCAAGACCGGATAATAAACCTTATGCTTGTCTGTAATAGCTGTCCTACTTATTGTTTATTTTAATAATAACTTAATGCTTGACAAACTACTAATAATACTAACGATTTAATAAGAAGTTTATAGTACAGTAAATGGTTGTGTATTGTTATTATTTTACAAATTTCGAATTTCACTTGCGACCAGACTGTTGATTCGGACCCGACTTTTTAACAGCAAACAAAGTTGCAACTATGTAAAAATTCTATGGTTCGAAGATCATGTTAACATAATAACGAAACTGTAACTTTACGGAAAATCTTTCATAGCCAAAATCTATATATTGTTTATGATTGGAATATGTATTACGTATGATCATTGCAAATATGGAAGTCGACGTAAGACAAATTGTGTAAACATCGGAACGCGGGATAAATGTAGAATGTCGAAACGCGGAACAATTGTAATAGAACAAACAGTTTTTTGAAACAAAGGGTTGCTAACTACTAAATAGAACAACAATTAAAAAAGTTATAAACAGCCTGCTGGCCAAATAATTATACACCGTATACTCTTTACGTGTAAACAAAGATTGGAAATATGACTGTAAATACTGTCTGATTTTGGG